TTTTATTGCCACTATCTACTCCCAACATTTCCAAGTACCAATACGGATGGATTTGAATTTTTTTCATTCACATCCATTTACATTTATATGTCCGAATGACATTTGGAAACAAATATCCAGGCATATAACCAGAACTTGAGAGGTCATTCTAAAGCATAGGCTTGGTAAATGAATAGTTTCATCGTTTGCAGAAACACAAGAAGGACAATAATGAAAATCATTTGACGATTGAACAAACTCTTTCTATTATTTCTAGATGTGCATTTCCGTTAAGTAACATCGAAATTTTTACCATCAAATATTAGACTTTGGTGAATACGTGTATAACTAGGAACGTTCTGTGTGCAGCTACAGCAAAACAGGATTTGGACAATTCCCCTTATGAGAAAATAAAAAGTGTAAGTGGCACAAATATTCATACGGTTAAATGGCAATAAATTGACAAATTATACACTTGAATTTTATTCTCTCAACCTAACATGTCAACATTATTGAATAATAAACGAACGGGATGCGATACGAAAATAGAACAAAAACATACTAAAGGAAAATATAATATCCTAAATGCAAAGTGTGAAGGGGAAAAGATTTTTAAAGATATTTTTGAAATAATAAGAAAAACAAGAAAAATGAGACATAAAGATTACATATAAAAAATAAAGCTAATTCAGCTTTCTAACATCAAAGAAAGCTTTGCAGCAGATTGAATCTATTCGTTGAAAAGCCTTTACTTGTTGAGGCTTTTAAAGTTTTAATAATCCAAATGTCGGTGTTGTTTTACTCCCATTGTGTTTAGTTCGGTTTCACCTGGTGTTTTCACGTTTTATGACAGAATAAAAACACCTTCCCTTTTTTCCTGTTTCTTTTAATATGTTTCACTCCCGCCGCTTTTCTGACCAAAGGCGATAAAAAGTGATTAATACGCTCCCATCGTGCTATGAAATATTGATAAGACGATAATAGAAGTGGCGGAAAAAGCCCAAGCAGTTCATACAGCCGATCGTAGAGCTAGCTGTTGGGGGGAAACCTCCAGCGGGAAGGCAGCGTTGCGTAGCCCGCGCGATGGCGCCGCAGCAACAGCTGATAAAGTCATTAAGAGGCCGATGTGAATTAGCGCGGGCCGAGGAGAGCGTATCGCATTCCGAACCGTCAAGTTCAGCCTAAGTTTTGATGTGCAAAGAGAGATAGTCATTTCAGAGGAGAGGAATTTGTGGCGTGATGTGTTTTCAGTAAGCTCTCTTTCCGTGTCGTAGCATCGTTTTAAATGTTGATTAATACTAATTGTAGCAAGAAATATAAGTAAGAAGAGCGAAAGAAATTGTGGAGTAGAGGATTTAAATTATAAAAATGAAAAGAAGTAAAAATTTACTTTAAGTAGCAAAGAAACGGTAGTTCATATTGTTTTTATAATCTAAATATTGTCAGTCGCTCTTGTATAGTGTGATGGTCTTGCTTGATTATAGTTTCTTTTGTATTTTGTAGCTCCGTGTACAATCTTGTTTTCTTTCCACGATAGCTTCTTCTGTTAATTTTCTTTCTCCACGTTAATCCTTCGCTGAATCATTATTATTATCTTATGTTTTCTCTCTCTCGTTTCCCATCTCTAATCCTCCCCTTCCATTTATCTGATTTCTCTCATTTTGTCTCTCTTTCTCCTGGCTTGTCTCTTTGTAATTTTGCTATCAGCCTATCACTCTCTCTTTGCCTCTCTGTTTATCTGTTTGTCTGTGTGTCTGTCTGTTTTTTTTTCTCTCTCTCTTTCTCAATCGTCATTTAGTGATGTAACTTCGCATCTCTTTTCATCCTCTCTTTCCTCTTCTGTACCTCAAGCTCTCTATTCGATATTCCACTCTCTCTCTCTCTCTCTCTCTCTCTCTCTCTCTCTCTCTCTCTCTCTCTCTCTTATAAAACAGTCTCCACAAAGTTTTCAATCTTTTATAGTTTGGTTGTATGACTGTTGCATGAGTTCTATTTCCTCATACATCATTCAAACAGTGACCTTATTTTTCCCTGTCTCCGAATCGGATTGCGAATCTGCTTTCCCTCTTCTGCCGGCTGCGGACTCTCCGCAGGCTCCCCAAAGCAATAAAGCACGCCGATTCTGCGGGGCATTTATTTCCTACAGGGACCCCATTCTGTTATTAAATCAATGCAATATTAATTGCCCGACATGTGTTATATTCTTTTGATGCTTAGGGGATGTATACTTTAATGATCTGTGGCTACTACTTGGAATAGGATGCCCACGCCATGGATGAAAACAAAAATATATAGGTGGGGCCAACTCGGAAAGATGATGAAGAAAAGGGGAAAATAGATATGAGGGGGTGAAAGGGAAAGAGAGAGAAAAAGTTCCTTTTATTGGGGTGTTGGTAGAAGAGAGAGAGAGAGAGAGAGAGAGATAAGGAGAGAGAGAGAGAGAGAAAGAGGGGGAGGGAGAGAGGGGAAGGGGGAACATAAGGGGCTCCAAAAATATGTTTATTAATCAATTTAGACGTACAACAATTGTTAAAATAAGAACAGATAAGGATCATTCGAAGCAGTCGATGAATAATATACAGTCAATTGTTTATTGTTTACTAAAATATTCTAATTTAGGTATTTAAATCATTTACACTAAAAAGATTCCCTCTTCCACTTCGTATAGGTTAATCAATAAAAAAAAAATGTCTAATCTACTCTTGACATAATCATGTACATTCAGAAATTCAGAACACTGTCTTAAGATAACTCAATGGTATTTCAAGCTACAATGCAGTCGAAATATCAGAGAAGATGAGAGAGCGAGAGAGGGGGTTTAATATTTAAATGAGAGAGAGAGAGAGAGAGAGAGAGAGAGAGAGAGAGAGAGAGAGAGAGAGAGAGAGAGAGAAGCGACTCCACAATAATACACTTGTGTATTGCTAATTACTCGCCTCCGGATATTTTTTTGTAACCAACCATTCCATCATTATATCAATACTACTTCTAAATATTGACGAACTAAATTAGTAAGATAGAAATGTTGTGTAATTAGTTACGTTCAGCCAACAACTGAATAGAACGCTTTTGAAATGGAAAAAATAAAATAAAACAAACGCAAACACGTTTTTTGAAATAATTGAATGTTGACATATTAATTACATTGCTTTTAATTGCCACTTACACTTGCGAAATGAACACATAAAATATATTATATGTACGTACATTGTATCTAACAATAAAACCTTTAACAAAAAAAGTCTCCCAAAAGATTCCATAATTTTTCATAATTCATGTTGGATCGATAAACAATACTATTAAGAAAACATTGACAATTTCGTACCCTACAACATGCATTACCATAATGTTTATATTATACATTGCCACACATCAAGTCAGTTTGAGTTGCCGTCCGCGTGTGATGATGATAAACAAATTAAAAGATCGCGGCGGGTTGAAAACGGGGCCACGGGATCAACACGCATGTCTCATCAACATATCTCTCTTCATTAGCATAACATGTCCCGTCAGAACATTGATGACTTTACAGGACCAGCCAAACATGGATGAAAATTCTTACAGTTTGAAGTTTGACAGCCGTATAGTCCAGGTTATTGACACAAATTTGACTTTTGTCAGACCGCAGAACCGCGTTATATAGAATGCCTACATCGACATGTCACGTACGTTCCATGAAGTACATTAGAGTATAGCCTTTATATCTTTCGAATAAGTATCAATAATTGTTGATATCAAAGTCCACGTATAACGTAGTCCGCTCCAAAACTGCTTACAACATGGAGGATTCATGATACATCTACTTCTTGATATTTTCTTGTCTCTAATTCTTGTTTTTTTTAAAGTTATAAAATAAGACATAATCCATCTGATTAAAGGTACAGATCGGTTCTGGTCATGCGATTGAATTGTGAAAGAAACGTTGTGGATCCATCAGAAAAGGTTGATCATCTAGCATATAAGTATTGGTGTGTACTGCAAGGTTCTGGAATCATCAAAATGAATTTGAATAAGAAATTTGGCCCAGTCTTGGTAAAGTTACAAGCATTGTACATATAAAAAGATGTATATAGGACTACGCTATATCTATCCAGTCCGGATATATATAATCATTTACCAAGTATATCAATTAGTTGGCGGTTTCCGGCAAAATTTGTATCATCATGTATTAATCAAAACATATTCTTTAATAAGAGCTTCCATTTAAAAAACGTTTGAGTACATTGAGACTAACCTTATTTTTAAACTTGTGTTATATAAATTTCAAAAAGTACCCTATACATTGCCAAAAGATGTATGCGCGAACAATTTATGATTGATTTGAGTTATATAAAATAGGAGAGAGAGAAGATTGTAGACGGTAGATGGATAGTGTGCGGTTGTGCGTGTGTGTGGTGTGTGGATGTGTGTGTTCACGCGCGGGCGTGAGAGAGAGAGATATATATATATAGCGAGAGAGAGAGAAAAAGAGAGAAAGAAAGAGAGAGAGAGAGAGAGAGAGAGAGAGGAGAGAGAGAGAGAGAGAGAGAGAGAAAGAGAAAGATAGAGAGAAAGAGAGAGAAATAAGTGGGTAGTGAAACAGAATTATTAAATGGAAACAGATTAACTTAAATTAATTTGTAATACCAGCCGAGTGCCATTATTAACAATCATCTTAAATATACCTTTACACCATGTTAAAGCACACGTGTATGCAATCATTCGCACGAAACCGCCTAATAGAGGATGAAGAAATACATATATTCATCCAACATACAAGGTTCATTATTATTCAAATGAAAGAATCACCGATTAAAAAAAAAACTCTCATAAGGAGCCCTATTGCTCATTAATAAATAAGAGGTTAATCAGCTTTATAATTCCTGGAATGTTAATGCATCATTTTCTTCTTCAATTTATTCCTGTAGTTAGATCATTGATACAAAGTTCTTTTAGAATATTATAAAATTAGTCAGCAACATTTTCACACCAAATAGATTTGTGTTTTTGCATATTTTCTTAGGGGAAAGAATTCTGCAAGTTCTGTAATTTTGGGTTTCCATCTTTAAACAGTAAATATCTAATGGCGTGGCTTAAATGGTGAAAAGGGCACTTTCCTTGTCAATATAGCTTTATCTAAATTGATAACCGTTTTTCTTCACTTAGGTTTTGAAGCTCAATTTTAAGAACAACTTAGGCCTGGCTTCATGTTCCCAGTACTCAGTCCATTTCACCCTTTTCGTACATTATTCTCGTTTTGGAATTCAATATACCAGAACATACTTGGAAAGTTTCTCGTGTGTATGGTAATGAAAACAAAACAAAAACATGACAAAAAGTAGGCTGAGCCTTAGTCATGAAAACACAAAGTATTTCTCAATCGCATGAGCATGTGCGTTACTTTTTACCTCCTTTCGAACAGTTTGCTTAGTTGAATGTTATACATAATAACATGGAAAAGAAGTTTCCACCATCTTTATAAATCAAAGTATGGCAGAATGCTACAGTAGACAAGAACAATAAATAAACCATAACTAAAAAACTGTATGTTTAAATACAATTCATTAATCTTTTGGAACTATGTAAGTACAACGCAGCCTGGTTTAGAGGAACAATTTTGTTCGTTGAGAAGCGAACCACATAAAACGTCACATTTGCGCATTATATCGCTATACCATTGTTGTTTCACCTCATCGATGGTTCCACTGTCACCGTGCTCTACGAACTGTGACGTAGATGTATTGATATTCAACTTTTGTCCTATAGAATCAGTCGATACAGAACATCTGACTTTGCCCTGCTTAAGCCTGTTCTTGATTGGTGGATCGTCATCACCTTTTTGTTCCTTGTCCAATCGGGGCGTCGCCGAGTCCGTGCAGGTTTTACCATCGCCGCGTGCCTTGCATTCGAGTCTTCGCTGCTTCATGCGCCGATTTTGGAACCATATCTTTACCTGGCGTTCGGAGAGTTCAAGGTAAGCAGCGATTTGGATGCGACGAGGACGACATAGATAATGGTTGAGACGGAACTCCTGCTCGAGTTCGAGGAGCTGTGTCGTCGTGAACGCGGTCCTAATGCGTCGACCAGATGATGAGCCTGAAATGAACAAAATATCTGATTTGAATGATTATTGATTATTTTGAACGTGTTTAAACAAGCACATACTTATATTTGGTTTGTTTATTTGTGTCAAGATTTTTAATAAATAGCCTGTGGAGAGCTCAAAAATTGGAAGAAAACAAATTGTGAAAATCCATCATAATTCACATTTGTTATCCGAGTTGATTAAAAGTGACAAACCAAAACGTTTATAAGTCAAGCATTTTATACAGACATATCACTTTGCCCATAGCCCATTACAGTTAAGTTACCACAAGTAAATTACCATAAGGAAACAAATTAGGAAACACGTTGAGCGAAAGTGGAAGAAGAAAAGGAATCGTTGGAAGATAAACAAATCTATGAAACTAAAAAAAAATTATTATAGACCTCTCAGAATTTTAATCTGAAAACATTAATATGAATACACGAATCACATTAATGATCTAAATTCATGACAAAAATTCAATAGACATTCTTATGCGTTAAAATTAATAAAAGGAAAGAGGAAAACTTTCTAATACATAATGGATCGATTGTTTTGCGACGTCATGCCTTTTCTGAAAGTTAGCGAAAATTCAAAACTGAATAATGACTTACATTGTAATTGTTCAATGTTAAACATTTCAAGAAAGAAATTTAATCGAATTGAAATTATTGAATTCAAATGAATTCAAATAAATGGAATGAATTCAATTAAATAGAATTAGATTGGATTAAAATGAAATGGGTAGAATTTATTAAACAAAATTTAAGTCAAATGAAATTGAAATGATCTGAGCAGAAATGACAAAGTTTTTATTTAAGGTACTGACTACATTAATGTAAAAATCGTTTTAAGGGCATCTTTTTCAGATGAAAACCCCCAAACATCTGCCTTTGAGCCATTACATCAGTTTCCATGGAAACACCAACCTGTATCTTGGGGTTGATCCTTTCCTTTGGAGTCCAACAGCATGGGAGGGGTATCACTGACCCAGGGGTACTCTGGCAGCCTGACAGAGGGGATGGTCACCTGGGGACCACTCCTTACCATCTTAAGGACACGCCCATCCCGCTGTGCTCCTTCAGCGTACGCACAGGACGTCGAGCACGGTGAAACCTCGGATGCAACGAAGAGTGACGATGAAACGGTGGTCGACGATGAAGGAGACGATGATGGCGGCAGTGGTGGTGGTGGTGATGATGAGGATGTGTGATAGCAGGATGAAGCAGTTGTTGTTGTTGTGGTGGTGGTAGGAAGAGGGGTTGCCGCTCGGGGAGATACATCGCACGGAAAGGCAGACCAAGCGGCGAACATTGGCTCGCAGGTTAGCGGAAAGGTGACGGGTGTGCGTTGGCGGGGAAACATTTGATGGATTAGGGCAGCGCACCTGTCTTGAAAGACTCTGGCTAGAATGTCCCACGCGAGGGGGCTACCACTTGCCCCAAAGGTATTTCCTCAATGAAAGGCGGCTCGAATGAACACTGCTTTTAAAGCAAGGTGTGGCAGTTAAACTTTAAAGGTTTTGATAAATCGAAGCGGAATTCGCAGCAGAATCAAAACTCTTGGCGTTATCAAAATCATAAAGTCATACAAATCTGTAAATGTCGAAAACAATGCTAACGCACCGGCGGAAAATTGTGAAGCTAATGAAATTTCATTTATATTAGTGCGGCTTTTATATAAAATTTCCCGGTATACAATCATCTACTTTTCAGCTCGATGTCGTAAAAAGCTTTATTTACTGCGGCGTTTTGTTCAGATTTATCAACCTTGCCTCCCTGTTTTGTATTCCCAAATCGGACATGAAATACTGAAAATCGGACATTCGATATGATATCCTGACATAAGAAGGAGAAGGCGACAAAAATACGGAAAAACACCATGAGATGGAGAGACAGAACTAGAGAATGAGAGATGGAGATGGGAGAGGGGTGTAGAGAGGGAGAGAGACAGTAAAAAAGCTAGAGGCATAGCGGAAAGGGAATGAGAATGTGAGTGTGTGAAGAGAGAGGGAGATAGAGAGGGAAAGAGTGAGTGTGTGTGTGTGTGAGAGAGAGAGAGAGAGAGAGAGAGAAAGGGGGGGGGGGGCAAATACAGAGCGATAGATAGAAAAAGTAAAGAAGAGAGAAAAACTTGAGAGAATGAGATTGGAGAGAAAGAAAAAACAGTGAGATATATAAAGCGTAATAATGGTAAATGGGTTTATAGTAAGAGAAGAAGGATAGAGGAGAGAGAGGAGGGATAGAGAGAGAGAGAGAGAGAGAGAGAGAGAGAGAGAGAGAGAGAGAGAGAGAGAGAGGCATGACGGGAGAGTGTTACCATCTCTGTTAGATATAGACTCCTCGCTGCATGCATGCTCTTTGTAAAGAGCGATTGATCTGGTGTAATTTGCCGTCACATTGGTAGCGAGGTGTGAAAGGCCAGTGTGACGGGGGGCTATCGGGTAGCACAGCTCACACCCACCGCTCAGCCCGCATGTCCGATTCTCGTTCGCCTGGTATGCTTTATGTACGCTTCTCTTCCTCTCCACTTCTCCCCTTTTCTTCTTTAATTTTTCCCCCTCTCTTCCTTCCTCTTCTTTATTTCAATTCCCCAAAGCCAACGCCATGATTGAGTGCTGGAGTCATGCCGATATATGGCTGGTTTGTGAACGCTTCAACTGGTCCACTTTCCCCAATGCTATTTACCACAATCTTAAACATGGACAATAAAACTATTACCTTGAACCACCAAAGAATGTGGCGGAAAGCGGAACAGAACAAGAGGAGATATTAAAAAAACGATTAAAATATTTCCCCTTGAAAATGAAAACCAGAAGACGGAAACATATATGTTATTTTGTCATAAGCCCTAAGTGAAATTAAACCAAACTGACGAAATAAAAGGGTTAGATTAACATTAAAAAAATTAAAAAACAAACAAGCAAACAAACAAACAAAAAATATCATAATTTTATCATCTTGTAGTAGCATGAAGGAGAGAAACAGGACAACGTACACATGGTATAACAGAAGAAAAAAACAGTTGGTTTCGCATTGAACGCTATTTATCCTAAGGATAAAGTGGCGTTGAAAATTATTATTACCCGTAGTTAAGACAATATTTGGCGGAACGGAGCGGCAATTCAGTAATTTCTTACTATTATACCAGGTACTCATTTAAATTGCAATTCACCTTGGTCGAGAATGGTTAATATAGATAAATGTCCTGTCAAAGGACAGTATATATAGTTTTGAAGAATTCTGTTTAAATAATGGGTTTGTAAGCAAAACAAGAGTTAAGGAATAATATGAAAGAACATTAGCAGATTCTGGATAGTCTGGTTCAACTAAAATATAATTCGTATTCATTTGAAAGTGAGAATAAGAAAAGTCAGATCCAGGCACCAATCTTTTCTTCATTATACAGAGCAATTGTGATATAATGATACATTTGTTCACTATGATAAACCGATGTTATGAAAAACTTCGCTAGAAAATAGTCTAATTAGCTCTATTTATATCGTCATCCCAATCCTGCATATCACGTCATCAATTCCAATAAAACTTACCGTAAATTTATTCAATGACATTCAATGAACATCATATCTTTTCCCCCAAAACAATACTTAACCTGTTTAATTTAGAGGCCTATAAGTGGTAAGAAACTGAATATTAGGATACAGTGGAATTTTCTGTACACGAACGTAGATAATTTCTAATTAATGAATAATTCGATACCATGGGGTTTAAATATAAACTCGACCCACTTAAACTCGATGTCAAGCGGACCGTAAAATCGATCCGTCTTCAAGCTGGCCTTGATATCGATCAAGAGCTATGATGAAATACCCTTTGAACAACAATAATTCATCAAGGACGTGTCAAAATGGCTCTTTCTTCATTAAAACAATGGCGAAAGTAAACTAGCGCGTCTTGGAAAGCGCGAATGTAGGGGGAAGCACTATAGCTGAGTGTATTCAGTAATCCCTCATGATCTGCCAGCCAGTGTCAGCGTTTCGTTGGTTCACCTGGTCTCCACTTCAAAGCGCAAGATCAAGAAATGTTCCCGCCAAAAATGGCAAACCATTATTTGTCGAGTCAACGTTGGTAAGATCATATCGTCTGTTAAAGGCCAGATATCAGCAGCGCTCGCTCGCTCGCTCGCTCTCCGTGCGCGCCGCTCGCTCAATTACTCATCAACGAGGCAGCGTCTATAGCTTGATTCATTGAACGAAAAAGCATATAAAAACACTCATAAGAACAACCAAGAATGGATAGGTTCTTTTGGGGATGAGAAGCGAGTAAGGATATGGCTATAGCGGATGATATACCACGTGCATTACATTTACATACCATCTCTTAAATTCCGAATGACCGCCAATGCTTCATCTACGTACATTTCGCAATAATAAAAATCAAGATTGAAATGAAGTTGCCAGTTTTAAATAAAGATTGTCTGGACGTTTATTGACTCTTGACTGATCAGGCGTTTTAAAAGCTAATCTTTTTAATGCGAAGATACAGATTTTCAAGTCAGATATTGATGGCGCGAAGTTTCGCAGAGTGAAATCTTCCATTTCTCTTGTCATTATTTTGTTTCTTTACAGTTTATCTAGTAGTGTAAGAAAATATGAATGGCAAGACGCAATATTGAAAGGAAAGCCTTTTCTAAGAAGGGCATTTAACACACGCACAAGAATGAGATATATATTCATTTGCCACGACAACATTAAAACAAAAAAGAAGCAGATAAGAATTTACAAAAATAGGAATTTATGCATAGCATACATTAGTAGTCATGAACTAACAATGAAAAAAGAAAAGACAAATTGATATTAATTGATAGGTTATTTCTTTAAATTTCGTCGTCTTTGTTCTTTGCTGCAGTTATACGCCATATTCGTTCTCTTTAACCAGTCACATATTAAATCTTCAGAGTTTGCAATGGCCATTTTAATGAGAAATTAGACAATTTACTGGCCATATTCAAACGCAGCGGGTAGCAGACTGCATTTTCTTGCGCGTGCCACAACTACTTTTTAATGGATTTAGCCTGATTTTGCCTTGTGATTTTAGGATGGGATTCCCTGGTATTGTATTTACCGTTTTTCATATTGTTCCATGTGATCGAAATAAATTAAAGAGTCTAATTCTATCAAAAGAAATCGACATAATTGTTTACGACCAGTGTTTGGTCAATTTATGAAGTGAATGAAACATTTTATTTAATAATATTGAAGTGTTTCACAGAATTACCAACCTAAGACTATATTTTATTGGTGTCTATGTGTGTATATATAATATATATATATATATATATATAAATATATATATTTATGGCTGACTAGCTGTCTCTGCCCCTATCACTGCAGTTAATCTTAAATAAACGAAACATATAGGCCTTCCTAAATAATATAAGAAGGGTCAGAAAATATCATAACTTCATTATAACCATGACGATAAGAATTATGAATAATATCGTTAAAAATTTGTAGTGGTTTATTTATCATTGGTCAGGTGATTCTTTTTTTCAAGTAATTCTAGGATAACTCTCCCATTATTGGTGTGCACAAAATGTTATTCAAAGCTTTTCTATTTTTGTTTTACCGGAACAGACTTTTTAACCATGATAACTTATGGAAAGCATAATTTTACATCTCCTCCTAAAAAAAATAAACAAAAATAAACAAAAAATAAACAAAATAAAGAAACAAAATCATCATTCTGTTTCATCATAAGAATTGAGGAGGGATACCCACCCTCACAAAAAAAAAAAACAGCCCGGATAATTAATACATGTACATGTATCAAACAAAATAATGGTAGTTCCCCATGATTGACTTCAATGACAATGTGCGACTACGTAGGCCTACATTATGGCGATCGTCAATTGGAAATCCACCATCTTTAAAATCATTTATAACTCTCGTATTGCTTGACTATTCTCTTTTTGTATGTCTAATTCTCGTTGTACCATAACCGCAAGACAACATTATCACCATGTTGATTTTCCTCCAATATAATAAAGACAAATATCATATTAATACAAATTTCCTGACATATTGTGACCGCTACTGACACGGTATTCGGAGTATGACACAAGAAGCGAATTAAAGAAACATGGCTTTATCGTATCAAGGGGTCACATGGGGTCACGACCCTTGACCTTTGATGGTGATCTCCATTCCATATCTCATGCAATGTCCCAGGCCCTAGCCATGCCAAGACAACGATACCAACATCTGTTCTTTTTAAGCAAACCTTTAGACATTCTCTCTCCTACCAAACACCCATGGTAAGTACATTATAGTCAGACCAATCAGAAATGCAGAGTGCGATGTCTTTCTTTCTCTGTGCTCCGCTAGTGCCCTATATAAAATAATTCACTTTCACTTCAACCATAGTTATTTTTGAAAAAGGACAAAGCCCCTGCGATGACTTAAGAAAAGAAAAGACCGGGGACATGCACAAAGTTAGCGCCCTATATGGTTCTCAATTTATTGGATAATGGGGATTACCTATACCAGGCAGTGGTGTATCCATTTCAGAGCGGAGCTGGTGAATGCTCGTCCCAAGTTTTAAGCACCCCCACCCCCCGAAAAAGGGGGCAATTCAGGATGACTACGACAACCGGGACTATACCCCTCTCCCCCCCCCCCCTCCCCCGTATACGCGAAGTATGCACGCCTCTGATAAAGTGCAGTGGTTTATAGTGAACCTAACTACTTTTGTTTAAATGTTTGGAATATTCATAGTTGGTACAAACTTTGCTAAGGATACTGATGCTAAGGTAGAAAATCATAATCAAAATGGTTATTACAATAAAGCATCAGTTAATTTGAGATCATTATGATGTGGACGAGATTATTGGCTTAATTCTTGATTGCCGCTTAAATGATAATAATTTTTAAACAATTACTATACGCAAAGGAATATGGCTTAGTGTTCCTGCCACAGACAACAGAAAATATATCATATACGAAGATTACCAGTAGAAGAAGAATAAATATAAGAGGGGGAAGAAAAAGAAGAAGAAGTAGAAGAAGGAAAAGGAGAAGAATAGGAAGAAGAAACATGTCTCACATAGATGATATTAGTTTTTGTTTGTACCTAACAGCCATAAATAAAACCTTCATCACAGAAATTATTTCGTTTTTGGCACACTTTTGGAAAGATGGATTTTCCCTCACTTGAATACAGCGTAGATGGAGCTATTTCAATATGCCATATGTAACAATCTCTCTGAGCATATTGCTTCTGCAATGAGAGGTGATCGTCTTAACTACGTTATAACAATGTTAAGTAAAGACAATACAAGCGTGCCATACGGGAAAATAATCGGCGTGGGGGGGGGGGGGGGGAGTAGCCCCTAGTATCAATTAATCATTTAACATCGAGTAAATGGAAATAATGAACTGAAGTTCAAGGACTCCAATATTCCTCGTTTACACTGACAACATTGTCTCATCATCATCAACCTTGCTGGAGTTTACTCAGAAGGATTGGATGTAAACAATATCAATGAAACAATAGCAAGAGGAAATTGAAATTGAAATTGAAAAATAAAAACAAATATTTCTCGATATGATAGGCCAGATTTGGGGGGAGGGGGGGGGGGACTGAGTAAAGGCTGATAAAGGAATAAAGTATAGAAATGAGGAAAAAGTGAAGACAGGAAAGAAAAGATGGTTGATTTGGAGCGAATAAAAAGAAGAAAAAGGGAGGGATCAGGTGAGTCTTTGAGAAGATAGAGGATGAAGAGAATGTAGGAGAGTGAAAGAGAGAGAGGGAGAGGGGGATAGATGATGTATATATTAGGTAGATAGAGAGATGGAGAGAGAGAGAGAGAGAGAGAGAGAGAGAGAGAGAGGGGGGGGGGGGGAAAGATGCCTGTTTGTTTCTTCTTCTTTTTTGAGGGGGGGGGGGGGGTGTAGGGTGGGACAGTAAACTATTTTTGACTGCTACTGTATATACTCCTTCTACCAATGTTGGATCATGAAATGAAAATTTTCATCTCGAAACTGGGTTGTCCCTCGTGACGGGCTAGGCATGCCTAGGACTACTTCTGTCAACACCAGCAAATTTCCATTGATGCCCCTTTGCGCCTCTTGTCAAAGTTCCTATATTTGGACCAAGTTCCACGAGTCTACAGTATTTTTTTCTTCTCCCTGATAGGCTTCTGGAAAAAGTAAAGTTATCGTCTTGAAAGTAAACTTGTTTATATATTATAGTACAATGTTTTTTTTGTTGATCATTTTGATAGACGTTGCAATTATGCTCTTGCATTTCCCCCCTTTGCCAGAGTAAGCTTTTAACTATTAAATGGAAGAATGTTTAGATCGTCATGATCAGAGAGCCTCTTTTGTTGCCCTGCTACACTGTAGATGGTCTTTTACTATTAAACAACAAAACAAAAAGCAAAACAAGAAGAAAAATAAAAAGGGAAACACGAAGGCCGAAAACATGAGCAAATTCCACCTTTTCTCACACAATGTCCACTGGCTGCCAGTTCTCCTTCACATTCAGTTCAAGGTGTCTTTGCTGGTATTTAAGTTTCTGAACGATACTGCCTCATCGTACTTATCGGACATCATCAAATTATATATCCCAGTTAGGAATAATTGCTTCTCAGATAAGAATATCCTTCAAACTCCTAGAGTCAGAAACAGATACTGCAGGGAACGTGCTTTCAGCACCCTGGCACCCTAACCATGGTATGCCCGTCCTCTCCTACTGCGAGATGCACCCTCCATCGGTAAATTTAAGCATTCTCTAGAAACGCCCATGTTTTATTCTCTTTTATAACTGAACTTCATTATATCTCCTCCTTTTAATCTTTAGAAAAAAAATGTAGTATAGTATTCAAATTCATTATGTATTAGCATATTTTCTTAAAGGATGTAATTGATTTATTGTAACTATTAGTGTAAAATTTCGATAATAAATCATTTTTCTTGTTTTAATCTTCAAATATTTAAGCAACTAATTTATCTATATCTAACATGCAAGTCTGTACTTTTGGGGTATTTGTTAAGCGCATAGAGATGGCAACATATAATGCGCTATATAAGCCTGACATGATTTAACCTCACAAAAAGACACTAAATAGTATGATAATTAATAACAAAACTAAGCATACATTTTGTCCAACTGTATATATAGTATCTAGTCATGTGAATCGGTAACTTATCATTTTGTAATTAACATTTGTATTATTATTGTAAGCCCGAATGTTCACTCCAGCATGCACTATAGTTGTCTGTGATGTAGCGTGGATCTAGTCGTGGAGGGGGGGGGGGGGGGGGGGGGGGGGGGTGAGTGGGGCAACCAACAGAGACTTTATGCCATTTGTATACTAGGTGTCATTCCTTTGCTGCGTCAGAAACTGACGCTGTCTTT